ATAGACTGACTATGGGCCTCGCTGCACTACTCTTGAAAGGTGCAAAACGAGAGTGAATCTTCCGCTAGAACATGTAAAGACACAGCGACATGATTTTTGTCTTTTGTGCATTTCAAGAGTAGTGCAGCGAGGCCCTACACCTTCCTCAGCCTTTTGGCTAGACATGATTTTGTCTTTTCTGCATTTCAAGAGTAGTGCAGCGAGGCCCTATACCTTTCTCAGCCTTTTGGCTAGAGTAGATAAAAGTATAGTATCTGTTCTGATAGAGTTTAAAAAATCTGAATAGACTGTCTATATACCATGAGGGAGCAAGCAGCAAAGAAGAGAGAAACTGATCGACCAAGAGAAAGAATGGTAAAAACACGAACAATGACACGACCACTAATCCTAAATCGAGATAAGGTGCTCATGTCTGGGGATTGGGATTCCCTCTTCCGCCGGTGGTGTAGAGTCTGTAGGCATGAAAAACGATAATGCGAAACACCGGCGGCGGTGTCCAACAATTCAATGGACCGCTGGAGCCAAGATATACGCATTGAGGATTAATAAATAAGATTAATAAATAAATAAATAGACATAATAAAGGTGCGGGGCATAAGATGTTCAATTCATCGAACAAGTGCAAAAAAAAGAGAGCGATTCGGTTCACACGGGGTTTGTAAAGAGGGGCAGCGCCATGCACAAGATAATGAGAAACCGCTGAGGAAAAGATCGACTTGTGTGGAGAATTAAACGTCTTCATAGAGCGCAGACTAATGGACGCCAGCTGTGAGAGAGAGTACATAAGAGCTGCGATGTAGAGAGAGGTAGGATTAAGCAGAGCAGAGAGGCGCCAGCAAAAAAAAAAANAAAAAAAAAAAAAAAAAAAAAAAAAAGCGATAAAAAACATCGGTACCAGATTTTTTTCCAAAACACAAGGCATATCATAAGCATCAATCATATACTCCATGCCTATTACTCGATGGCCACAAAACAGTCCTCTATACAGAAATCAGAGAGAATAGCAATGTGCTTGCTCTCAAGTCCGTTAAGAAGTGCGCGGGAGGAAGCAGACAAATCAGAGAGATTTTGGAGAAAAGAAAAAAGAAAAAAAATGAGAAAAATCTAATCAGTCCTTCGGGACATCCGTTAAAATTGGAACGATACAGAGAAGATTAGCATGGCCCCTGCGCAAGGATGACACGCATAAATCGAGAAATGGTCCAAATTAAAAATAAAAAATAAAATCTGATCCGTCGAGAGGGAATACTGGTTCCAGCTAGAGCTGGTAGTTCAGTTCGATGAAAAAAAGGAGAACCCATTAAATGGCAGCACGTTAGAGAGAAAAGAGCAGGAGTGAAATGAAAATGAGAAGTGGATAATTATGCAGGATACCGAGTCGGGTAAGAAAGAACCCCAAAAACGCCAGTCGAAAAAAAAGAAGAAAAAATAAAGTGTGGGTCAAACGAGAGACGCGTGAGGTGATGCGTATGATAAGCAACAAGAGATGATGACAGAATAGAGCGATCGACGAAGGCAGAAACCTAATGCAAGGTAACCTCTCTCTTGTAATGGGAGACGGAGCAAAAAAAAAAGGGGGGCCGGGGAGGGGGAGGGGGGGGGGGGGGGGGAGGAGGAGGGAAACGAGCTCAATCAGAGGGCGAACTAATTGGATTTCAATGAAAGGAGAACGGATCGAACCCCGACACCGAGGTCGGTGATAATTTGAGAGACATACGGGCGGCGTAAAAACAGAAAACGACAAAAAAGAAGGAAAACAGCGCCAAGTACTCCCGAGAATGAGAACAGGGATCCCGACGTCACGGCGATTGCGTAAGAAACGGCAATTGCGTTAATTGAATGGGAGTGCAAATGAGAGAACAAATGTGCACAGACACTCACACAGACATATAAAGGGCCTCGCTTGCACCACTACGTAGCCAAATGCCAACATTGTGCACTCGTCAGGATTCAGGACCACTTGCACGTCCAGATTCATCAAGACTGCTGGCAATTGGCAACGAGTAGTGCGTCGAGGCCCAGAAAAAGAGACATGAGGAGCTCTGACTGCCGAGAGCTCACAAAGCGGGCACACAAGCGAAATGTGTGGGTTGGACTCAAATGCATTGCAGCGAAATAAAGCATGAAGATTTAAAAAACAGACAAAATAAGACGGAGATATGTGACAAGATAGCATGGAGTAAAAAAGGGTAAGATAAGGCTCCACTTACTCACCACACGCACAAATGACATAAATATGGCAGTGTACATTTCCATGTTCTAGCGAAAGATTCATTCTCATTTTCCACTTTTGACGAGTAGTGGAGCCAGGAGGTCCATTGCGCGCGCGGAGTACAGAAAAGGCAAGATAGCATGAAGAGGGGGGCAAAAGCCAAAATAAATCAGAAAATAAAGGCAAAAAAAAAAAAAAGCACAACCGAATGGAATGAGTAAGAATGAATGGCAACGATCAGATCATTAAATAAATAAATAAATAAAATTAAAAAAAAACATGAAAGAGGAATCCACGAGTGCGGGTATCTAACCGATTTCTGTTTTCTATTAAAACAAAAAAAAAGACACGCTGCTACCTGACAGATCGACACGACAAGAAAGACAGAACAAGCGACCATGGCGCATCTGGATCAGGAACCAAACCCAAACCCAAAAAAAAAAAAAAGACGACCATGGCGCATCTGGATCAGGAACCAAACCCAAACCCCAAAAAAAAAAAAAAGACGACCATGGCGCATCTGGATCAGGAACCAAACCCAAACCCAAAAAAAAAAAAAGAGGCTAACCGCGCACCATCGAATCCACACATATGTGTAGGCACATTACATTGGAGTAAAGACCATTGAGAAAAGAACAAAAACACTAACTCGCTCAAGAGTCAAGACAACAACTGAGGAAAGACCATTGAGAAAAAAAAAAGGGAGGAATGAATCTGCTGCTGCCACCACCGGGCATTTTGATGAAAGGAAAAAAAAAGAAAGTGAAGAAAGAGACAGAAAGAGAAAGTGAAGAAATAGACAGAACAAGAAAGTGAAGAACTAGACAGAAAAAGAAAAGTGAAGAAATAGAGATCGTGCAAATTGACAAGCAACCGGAGAAGGAGAGCGGCGCAGGAGAGACTCTCTCTTCAGCTGACAAAGAAGAAAATAGATGGATCGACGAGCTAGAACATATAAGGCGAAAAAAGGAGGACATTGATTGATGTATTAAAGGAGGACATTGATGCATAAAGGTAATAAAGGAGGGGAAATTCATTCATGCTATCGTCGAGGCGGAGGGGATACATAAATAAAGAAAAACCAACGCGTGTAGAGCGCGGAAGGTTAGTCAAAAGACCGACCGAAAATCTTTCTATCTACAGCGTGGCTGTCTATATCCTCATCTCGTGCAGGTACCGACTCCGACTATATTCCCTATTCCTACCGTGGAGCTTCTCAAATCCTATGCAGTTCTCTCTCTCTCTTCATCCCGCGACAGTTATCAGTTCCTGTCAAGGACTTATCATAGCAGGTCGTCCATTTCCAGGAAGAATTACTTGGATGCCCCTTTCATTCAACAAGTTAAATTCGATAGATAGCCTTCAATCAGCTCTCATGAGAAACAGCAAGAAATAGGGAAGAAAAGCTTGAAACAGCAAGAAATAGAGAAGAAAAGCTTGAAACAGCAAGAAATAGAGAAGAAAAAAATGGCAGCACAGACACGGCGAAAATGAAAAAGACAACGAGCAGCCTCGAGAATACTGTCGGGGATGCAGTATGGCTGTTGAAAGGAGGTGCCTGTTATCCAAAGGAAGGACTAGAATGGTCTGCAAACGTCCGGGGGAGAAAGCAAGGGGATCGGACAATTATCAGTGTGAAGAATCACTGAAAGTTCTGCCACAAGAGAGCGAAAGGGGCAGGGTAAAGTCGATACACAAAAAAGTGGGAGGAGAAGAAGGAAGCAGGAGGAAGTACATATAATAATAATAGGGACGACGAAACGACAACATTGAAGACCAGGAGAGAGAGGAGAAAGCTTTTGACGTCGCGAAGGGAATCCAGAGAGAGGGACACAGAGAGAGAGAGAGAAAGAGTCAGAACGAGGAGTAATTGGCGCGCAGCGGCCTAACGCTAGAGAAAACAGAGAAACACGGTGATCTCCAACACGGGAAATAATGATCGGTTCCTTCCCATCACCAATCCCCCCCCCCCCCCCTCCTCTCCCGCTTCATGGAATTGTTTTCAACGAAGGGGAAAAGCCAATGCGGGAAGGGGAGCAGCAGAAGCTACCCGGTCTCMCGGATGACCCCCCCCCCCCCCCGCCAAGCACTTCCAAATCGTCACATACAAACCACGTTCCATATATGCTACGCGACAAACGAGTTCTTTAGATCACTCGCTGAAGTCGTAAGTGATATAATAATTTACCGCAAGTAATATCGTGATTCACTAAAACGCCTTATGACTCACTAAATAAGTCAATATATATGCTTCGCTGGAAAGTGGTATGATTCGCTAGAAAAAGATTGGCACGGTTCTGTCAAGTATCACGTTGGTCTATCAGGCTTACAGGCACAGTAATATTTTAGGACGTGTCATCAAACAAACATCCTTAAGATGTCGTTCATCCATCTCGTGACGATGGAACCGACGACATTAACGGTGATGACGATAATGCTAATGATGATGGTGATAAGGACGACTTTGATCACGATCGGACTAGTAACCACATCTGCGATGATGATTCACAATGCTAACATGAACAGGGGGGAAGGGGGGGAAGGAAGGGGTAAAGGGGGAGGGGAGTAAAGAGGGGGAGGGGAGTAAAAAGGGGAGAGGAGTGAAGGGACGGGGGCTTAAAGGGGGGGGAGGAGGGAAGGGAATGAAACGAACGAGGAAATGGGCAAACACTCCTAATAAAAGAGAAGAAAGACGAAGTGCAATTTGTTCAATCGGCAGAGTATAGAAGGCAAAAAAAGCAGGGCAAGGTAGTAAGGAGAGCGAGAGTAGTGATTACAAGACATGCACCTTGAATGGGGACCTAGCGATTTTGCGTGGAGCTCGTCGCGGACTAGTTACCGTCCCCGATAAAGCCCCATCGACACCGACTGGTGAGAGGGAGTACGGCGACTCCGGCCTCCCATTGCTTGGGCCCAAAGTAGCGTTCCCCCGATTATCGGATTTGAACCTAAAGAGGTTCCGTTTGGGACTCATGGGCGAGCGAATGATATCCCCTCTGGCCATGTTCCCTCCCCCTCCGGCTGACTTGTCAGGGGTCGTCGGCGCGCTGTCCGCTCCCAACAACTCGCTCCTCAACAGCATCGAGTATGCCGCCGCCCCGTCCTCCCTCTGGTCCATTGAATACACCACTCCGTTTCCGGTCGGCGACTTGTCCAGCAGCGCGAAGCCCGTCAGATTGGACGCCGACCGGCTCGGTATGAACCGATCACTGTATGTCGTCTTAGTCGGCGACGCTGACGTCAACGACGTCACGCCCGACGATCCCGACGTCACGGATGACGTCACCGACTTCAACGGCGACCCGACGCCGAATCTCAACGGACGGGGTACCGTCGTTCCCGTGTCCAACCTCATAGCTTCTCTTGTCATACCGGTCGGTAGATTGATTGTCGATCGCCCAGGAGTAATACTCCCCACGCTTCCTCCAGGACTGGAGGTAGCAGTTCCTGTTCCTCCCGCGACTCCTCCCCCTCCTACACCGCTCCTCTCAGCTGCAAGGAGATTCTCTGCCCTAGGAGACGTGGGCTCCGCTTCCATAACCTCTCCCCCGCCACCCCCTCCGCCTCCCACTCCCGCCCCCCCCCCCCCCCCCCCCCCCCCCTCCCAACCCGGAGGAGGTTGTGTTCTCCGCAAGCGCGCCAACTTGAGTGCTTCGGTAACTCCTCGGCGAAGGAGATCCCGATTGCGACGTCGCGAACGCAGATGAAGACTGGAGCAGGACAGAGGTCGACGGCGGAGACGCCCCCGTGGTGGAGGGGGATAAACTGGAGAACAGACGGCGGCTACACTGCGGTGTGATGCTTCCGCCTGCCAACCCCGCCGCCCTTTCCCCCTGGGTCAACACCAGGGCAGAACGGTTTCTTTCATCCCCGCCGGCGTCCGCCTCGGGGCGTCGAATCACATCATCCATTCAAGAAGAAGAGTGTCCTGTTAAAGCTTTCCTGTTTCTGCCGCTTCCCCGACCCCACCGCAATCGCGCCGCGCCACGCCGCCCCGCGCCTACCCCCGCTTCCCCCCTGCCTTCACCCCGATGACGCGGCAATGACGACAGCCCGCCAGGTCCTCTCCTAGCCAAGGCGACAGAATACAGGGAAAGGCGGGGGGGGCGGATATGGCGCGAACGAGCGCAGACACACGCGGGAGAGTCGCAAGGCGAGAACACGAGAGAGGAAAAAGCAGGAGGTATTTGCCAACGTCTGCAGAGCTGCTGCTCTGTGCAACGCGGACTCTCTGAGAGCGCCGCAGAAGACAGAATGCATGAGAAGTGAGGAGAGAGTGGAAGAGAGACGTATCAGCACCACAGATGGGGAGAGAGAGAGAGAGAGAGTTTGTGACTTGCACAGAAACGATTTGTTTATTAGGAAGCTATGGAGAACCTGTAGGAATAGAAAAGGTGTCGCCGCCACCGTCGTCTCGCGCCCTTTTACCCATGCCTCCCCTGACTCATGACATCCAACGAGTAGCACAATCCACACGCGACCCCCTCCCTTCACGGTATATAAGACAAGGAAGACCAGACGAGAGAAGACAGTGGTGGTTAAACGAGAAAAAACTTCCCCAGTCTGTCTGCATTTGATTTTGCGGAGACCGAACCAAAGGAGGGAGGAAGCCTTTTCGCGCTTAACCACGACTGTCACAAACTGAGCGAAGAGCGGAACTAACGACAGACCCTCGGTCTCCGTCACCAGTTACTGCTTCGATTCGAATGACCCGCAGCCCGCAACAACCACTTTTCCCTTGTCCTCCTCCTCCAAGCTCTACTACAATATCATCGCCCGCGAACGAGCGACCACACCGACCAATCAATCAACCAATCAAACACTCGCTTATTCCGCGCAAGAGCGAAACAAACGCCTGCCGTCTTCCTACCCCCACCCCTTTTGCTCCTACTCCTCCTCCTCTTCCTCCACCACCAACTATCCCCCGCTTCGCGCTTTCCATAGCCAATTGCCCATCAGCAACACGTGGTTGACGCACCACTCTCCCCTCCGTGACCGAAAACTACCTGTCTTCGCGCACGCGCGCGCGTGCGCGCCAAGTGTTGGGTGCGCGTGCCAAGTTGTTGATGTGTGTGAGTGTGCGTGCTCAGGTCGCCCTCGTGCCCATCATTCCCACTCTTCTGGTACTGCCAGACACAGAGCGAGAGAGAGAGAGAGAGAGAGAGAGAGAGGGAGAGAGAGACCCACGCCTGGCCCCGGGCCTGCCGAGATGCCCCCTTCCCTCCTGTGCCCCGCCCCTCGCAACTCGCGCACACTTTCCTCCTCCGCTGTCTCGCTGCGGATTCCACTCCTTCGCTCCTAACCTCAATCTCCCCTTCTCCCTCGGCCCTACCCTAACTGCGCCTATTGCCTTCCCTCCGCCCTGTCTCACCGCCGCCCGCGCTGTTCCCAGCCTCCCGCGCGGGTTGGCAATAGGCGCCGCCCGTCGTTCTCTCCGCATCATCCCGACCGGCCGGGCCCCCCGCCCTCTTTCCTTGGCTTGGCGCAGCTTAGCAAGGCCTGGCGTAAGGCTGTCCTGGCTCGCTCAGGCCTCGCCAGGCCTCGCCCACCCCGTAGCCGCGAAATGACTTCCCCCACCCACGGTGGTCTACCTGGTAGGCTAGCTGGTAGCCTGCGAGGCCTACCGTCTTCCCCCGAACACAACGCACCCTTCTTTTGGCAGTATCTGGACGGAAATATAGCTTCTATACGTTCATTTTTAGGGTGCGTTATGCTCGGGGGAGACGGTAGGCCATCCTTTCTTGGGCCTTGGCCGCATTTTGCGTTGGGGCCAGCTGGACTAAGGCTGCACCTGACCGGGTGGTTTAGCCTACCAGGTAGACCACCATTTTTGGACCTGGACGCTTTGGACGCTTTGCATTCAAGGCCAGCTGGGTTGCGCGTGCACCTAACAAGGACTGCCCGTTCAGTGACCCGCCGCAGGGCGGAACGATCCAGTGGTTGTTCCGCTAGCGACAACGCTAAGGTAGGTTCCAGCTGGCCTCACGGCCACAACGGTGACAGGCGCTAACCCCCTTTCTGTTCTTCCCACACCCGTTCCCGGCCCAACACGAGTTCCTTCGCCCTCCATTGCGCATAAACGAAGAAAACACCTCTGTTCAAGCCAGAGGCGCAGAAATGTGGCCTTATTACGGTGGGGACAAAGCACCTCGTTTTGCCGAGTCTGACCGTGCTTCTTTTTCGTGTCGTTTTGCGTGCGCATACCGCACGCGGCCATCATCATTGAGTATGTGCATTGAACACATCGCGATGAGCAGCTAGCCTGGCAGTGTGGAAAACGGAGAACGATCTGCGCCGAAAAGGACAACCAGGCGCTGCCGTTGCAACGCTGCGCGAGGGCTCGGGCAGCCAGCCCAAAGGCAGGGAAGGCTGGGACTCGAAGTCCATGGGCAGCCTGAGAGGTACAGCGTGGGGAAAGCCGAAGAGGAGGCGTATCGCCGAAGCTATGTAGGTGTAGGTGTGAGTGGGTCACTGGGCATACTCACACGGGGACTTCTTTCACTGAGCTTTGGATGTCGTTGCTGCGGTGGCAGCAACTGCGGTCAGATACATTTGGGAAAGTGCTAGTGTGAGTATGCCCTGATAGTCCAAGGGAAGGTGGGTGATAGCTGACGGTAAGTGCAGGCTTGTGTGTTACGGCAGTTGTGATCTGTAAGTCAGGTTTTCTATATCCGGCAGTGAGACGGGTCACAGATGCACACATTCAGGCCATTCTGATGCCGAAGCAGCCACCAGTACATCCGAGCCTCGTTTTGCTGAGGTGGATTCCCCCTGTGCACCAAACTTCCCTGAAATGCCAGCACAGCATTTCGTTTTCTTTTGCCCGGCACCGCTGGTAGCATGGACACGCTTGGGTGGGCCAGTGGATTGGCCCTGCGTTAGCAATCACGACAGAGCCTGCTGTTAGGCCTTAGCACAGGAGCCTGTCTGATAATGTGCCATCGCTGTGCAGGTCGGCTTTACCTAGTCTTCGTCTTCATCGCAGGATTCACTGCGGTGACGCGAATTTCACGGAATGTGTAGCCCGAGACAGCCATAGTTGAGCTCATGGAAATTCCCAGATTTACCGTTATCACGTTAAGGTTGTAGTTAGTGATTGTCTTTTATATACTTTTGCGTTTATTAGTGTGGCGGCAATATCAACGAGTAGAGGGTGAGGGTTTGGAGGAAGTGTGAGGGAAGGCCAAGCTTCACAATCTTGATTGTAGCAATACTTTTTGGGGGGGGGTAACTTCAGTAGAGTCACAAAAACGAGTTATAATTGTAGTGTGGGGAAAGATATAGTTTGCAATTGCACTTCGGGCACCCTATCTGGCCAGAAAGTTTGATTGTATACATTGCCCGAACTGCAATTCAAAACTGTATCTTGGTCAATAGTGCAATTATAACTCATTTTTTTGACGTCCGCGTAGTTTCCCTTTTTTCTCATCAAGATCCATCTTTGTCACAGCACAGTCGATATTAGTTTCTATGTATAACTTTGTTTCGTGCTTTGCTAACGTGGTGGTTAACATCGGCTGGTTGAGAAGGGGTTCCCAAAGAAACGTTATTGGAGGTCATTCTTCGACATTTTTTTCACAACGATGAAACAAAAGTTATTGGCTATGCACTCGGAAGTACTGACGGAGGACCAGCCCAATCAGGTGTTATATCGCCTCCGCTAGCTCAAGATGTTGATTTTGTGGAAGACAGAGTTAAATAGCTCATAGCACAATGCTATGATCATAGCACAATGCTATGAGGAAAGGAATGTTCCAGAGGACATATTGCGCAGGGACGTAAAGATTGTAGGGCAAGGAGCAGTGTTCATTTTAAATCCAATGTTCGATTAAATAAAAATTTGTTGGTTGAAAGAATAAATGATCGTTAGTGTTCAGGGGTGCTGCAAGGGAATTATCACGAAAGGTAAAAGCAGATCTTATACGCATATACGAAAATGGTTGGGTGAGGGATGGCGTACTCAAGCAAAAGGTTTAGCAAGGCTCAATTTGTTGGAAAGGGCCGAATATTCTCGTATACGTTGCAAGAGACCGGGTAGTTTTTGCTTGGATGATACTTCGAAGAAACAACGAGGTAATATTGTCTGGTGCAACGTACTTTAGGAGCTTTGAACCTCGGATAACTAGGCTCAAGTGGAGGGAGTTTCGAGGTGTAGAAACTGATAATACATTTATGGTAATGGCAGTATAGATCCCCCCGGATGCTATTGTATACACCAAGGCTAATACCAAAAGGAACATAGGTGTTATTACGAACACTTATCCTTTAATCAGAGATCACTTTAGGCCTAAACTCGTTAACATAAAGTATGATGTTGACCCTCAGTTCATGGACAAGATGATGGATAGAATCTGGGTTTGAACGGACAACAGTGACATGAGGGAACTTAAGTTGGTCTGCTCTTCGACCCCGTATTGCAGAAGGTGTCGTTTCTTTTCACAAAGAATAAGATTGCACTTGACACCTAGCACTGAACCAACACAATTAAAAAATAAATTTCAACAATCGACAAAAAGTTGTGACGATAGTTGGAATCAACTTTTGTACGAATGGGTCAAAACTCAAAGACACTGATTTATCTAGCGTACAATATCAACAATCATCTTTTCAGTCGAGAGGTGGGCGTGCAAAGTACCAAGGAGAACTTTACCGAAACAGATCTCAATAGTCCATACACTTATCTGAAAGAGCGTTTTTTGGGAGGACTCAAAGTTTCAGCCTCAAACATTAAAACGTTCAGCAAGGCATTGCTTCTCAAGCCTACCCGCTTTTCTCCCCTACATCGAGATATCTAATTGGATTTGGTTTGGCCGACAGTATTGGCGAGTACTGAGGGAGAAACTTTCAACCAAGAGATTTTTTTTTGCCTAAGCGGAGATTTAGAGGATGTGGTGAATATCAGGGCAGACAGTGGATCGTTTTTCTCATGACTTAGATGACAAGGAGATATCAGATACTCTTGCGAGCAAGCGTTGGACTAGCAACTCAGAGGAAACAAGTTTGTCATCTTCAATCATGATTCTGAAAACCAACGGCTAATTCAACAATAACCATTCCAGACTTTCCACAACACTCGCACGACTGCTTGCCGTTGAACCAAGTAAAAACAATCATTCGGCAACAACACTGTGATATTTCGTAAAAAGCAGCAGATGGAATGCAAAATATGATTGCAAAAGGTTCTCAAAACTCAGTCGCGAGCTCAAACAGATCTCACGGGGGAAACAAACACTAACAAATAATCTCATCACCCAAGTCAGGCGTGAAAATGACACAGAGAATGTAGGATGGTAATGATAGGAAGACAACGATCACAAATGTTAAAAAAATAATTGTTTTCCTTCATTTGTACCTTGATTAATGAGGGAACTTAAGTTTAAGCATAATTTTTCTCATAGGGCACAATATCATTTCACTCCCTAGTCAATGAGAAAACGATCATAAGCATCATCATTTTTTAACCAAACAGAGTTTCGGGGGTGTAATTTCACTACGATTACTCTCATAAATCTATCCACATTGTTATTTACGTAGACTTGCATGATATTAAAATTAACTTTGCTGGATGGTTTTATTGACGCTGATAACTTGTAGTGACTTTCAAATAACGACCTTCGGTTATTACCAATTTTTACGTTTTTCCATAACATAGGTGAACTTTTGTATGATATTCAAGTGAACCTGAAGATGTCAGTTTTTTGCAGGTTTCAATGACAAACTGCCAATAAATAAAAAGTTAAACTATAGATATACTCACATGTGGTTGTTCGAAACTGACCACATGCTTCGTCCTCATCAACCGCAGCATCACATAAAAAACA